AGGGGGTCCGAGCCCCCGATGGGGAGGACTGCGGTGGCTCTGCAGGCTCCTTGGGGTGGAAGCTCTCCTGCAGCCCCCCGATTAACTTCCTCCCCCAGATGGCAGCCTGCGGCAAGTGCAGCCGGTCTGATGGCCGAGTGCTGTGATGTGCCGAGTGTGGGCACTCAGGGCAATCCAAGCCAGGACTGCTTTGCAAGCAGGGAACCCCTGAGAACTGTCTGTCCAGGGTGGGGATCGGGTCCCTTTAAGCACAGCCCTTGGCTAGCCTGAGACAGCAGCTCCACGCTCTTAAGTCCTGATCTGATGCCCTGCCGGCACTGCTTCCGGCCATCCTTAACCTCAGTTCAGGGTCCACTCAATGTGGACATGCTAGTTCGAATTAGCAAAATGCTAATTTGAACTAGTTTTTAGGTCTAGATGCACTAATTCGAATTAGCTTAGTTCGAATTAACTAATTCGAATTAAGTTAGTTCGAATTAGTGCTGTAGTGTAGACATACCCTTAGAGTAAAAACCCAATAGCTTAGACATCTTGGTTGACACCAAACTCATTTAGATAAAGAGAAGCTTATATATAGTAATAGAGATTCAGTGGCAAGGGAATTATTAGCTTGGGAGACATACTGATATTTCCTTAAGGAGGTTTGAATACTAAGATTTCAGATAATTGGTATTCTATTGTATTTGTTAATAAACAGGTGATGTAAAAGGCTGTTACCAGAGATGCTCTTTGTTTTTAATCTTTACACAACTAGTGGTTTTTAAAAAATAAAATAAAATCTATGATCAGATATTAACCAAAAAGAACATTCGGGCTCCACAGTTGTGCAGTGTCATTCTGCAAAGATTTGGTTTATCGCATATCTATTTTTCCCTTTCCCTTCCCCCAATTATATTAATGAAACAATCCTGGTCAAAATGTCAGATATGCGTTTTACATGGTGCTCATCTTGAAGAAACAACCTCAAGTACCGTATTTTCCGGCGTATAGGGCGACTGGGTGTATAAGACGACCCCCTATCTTTTTAATTAAAAGATAGGGTTTCATCTTATACCCCAGCGCCCCCCGCCTCCTTTGCTCCCGGTGTCCCTGGTCTGCTGGAGATGGTCCCGAGCAGACCAGAGGCACCAGGAGCAAAG